TCTAGTGGAGGGTCTATTAATTAATATTCTTAAAATTATTAGGATTGACTTTAGTCTTCTAGAATAAACTAGAAGGTTCTTTTAAATTCTAAAGGAATTAGAATTAATAATCATCTTTTTAGAAAATAATGAATTTTTGATTGGGGATAAAAAAAGTATTTTATTATGATAAATTTGATTTAAAAACTGATTAACGCGAAGTCTAATTACTTAATTATATTAGGAAAAGGATTCCGTACAAAAGCGCGTTTTATCTTTTAATCGGAGCCAAATGACAGTCTTGTCGCACTGCGACAGACCTTGTCGCCATGCTGGATTCCTGTTATTTTGCGCTGGGCCTTGTCATTCGCGACAGGAGCAATTTTACATCTAATAGGATTCTATCTTTTTTCTGATCGTTTCTGGGCTATTTTCTCTATAAATAGGGTCGTATTTCCCCGTTTTTATTCATCAACAATTCACAGTCATCATCTAATTCTATTCTCTTCTCTCTCAAGCTAATAACTTTTCTTTCTCACTTTTCTAAGCCTAGCCTTTTACAAACAAAATATCGCATTCACGAGTTCTAGACACACCTAGCCAAGCTCAAAGTTGCCTTCGCCCTAGACGTGAAAGATTGATAATTTTTGTGGATTTGGTCCCAAATCCCTATTTCAATTATTTAAATTGATTGTTTGATTTAATATTTTCCTTGAAGTTACTAACGAGTGTATTTTGTTATTAGAAAAAGATACAAGGCAACAAAGTAAGTAGTTTTATTGCTCTATTTCTATAGAAAGCATGTTTATATTGTATTAATTCCTAGTATCATGTTAGGAACTTAGGATGCTTATATTGCTTTCTAGTATCATGTTTAGGTTGCTTCATACTTTCTTCTATCATGTTAGTATCATGTTAGGGATAAAGATTTGATCTTTATGTTTAGTGACATGCTAGGATTTGTTATTAATCTTGTTAGTATCATGCCTAGGATCTTGCTAATAATATTATTATGCTTTGACGAGATTGTTATTATGATGATTGTTGTTATTATGTTGCTTATTATTATTGTTATTGCTTGATCATGCCCTCTCTTGCAGGATTAAAGGGAATTTGTACTTGTAATCACACTTAATAAGATAATTTATAATTTTGTTTAGACTAATTTGATAATAATTCAAGTGATCGCCAATAATAGATTTGCTTGTGCATTAATATTCAACTAACATAGATTAAATAGGTTTAGGATTAGTATATTGATTTTATGTTAGTCAGAAAGCGTACATGAATATAAAAAGAATAAAGTAGAGGCCTATTTTTTAGGGCAGGTTCAATCTCTTTTAGGTTGGATTTGTACCTTCATCCCCGAATATTCAGTCATGGTTCCAGACCAATATGGAGTTAGCAATCTCATAGATTGTGAAGGGGTGTAACCTTCACCCTATGAACGTTTACAAGTTCCTATTACTTCTTGGCGACTCTTTTGCTCTTTTCCTTTGGACATCACCATGCTTAAGTATATGATCACAGTGGGGTTTAAGTGTGGGATGCTTGAAATATTTCCTAAATCCACCCTTGTGGTTCTTTAAACCAAAAAAAATAAAAAAAAAATAAAAAAAAGTACCAAAAATGATTGTCTAAGTGCAAAAAAGGTAGTATAAGTACTTAGAAACTAAGGAAGTGGATGTATGTAGTGTTGATTGATTTGTAATAGTACTTCCTCAATTCCATGGCCTAAATTAAGTGTGTGCTGCACTAATGCTAACTTGGACACCTAGTTTTAAGTGGAATTTTGAAGCATGAAACATGTCGCCGTGTAATTAGTTTAAATATTATATTGGTTTTTTAAAATAAACAATGTATTTTTATTATAAAAAACCTCACAACTCCCTCCCTCGCCAACCACGGTAATCATCTCACCTCCTCATCCCTAGTCTACCTTCTCGCACATTCCAACCCCGAAGCTTGGCCCGGCTCGACCCGAGAAGTAGGAGGTCGCTTGTTTTGGTTTTGGTGCATTTCATGTAACAGGCTTGTACGGGCCCGGAATATGGGTATCGGATCCTTATGGACTAACTGGAAAAGTACAACCTGTAAGTCCCGCATGGGGCGTGGAAGGTTTTGACCCTTTTGTTCCAGGAGGAATAGCCTCTCATCATATTGCAGCAGGCACATTAGGGATATTAGCCGGCCTATTCCATCTTAGCGTCCGTCCGCCTCAACGCCTATACAAAGGATTACGTATGGGCAATATTGAAACCGTTCTTTCTAGTAGTATCGCTGCTGTCTTTTTTGCGGCTTTTGTTGTTGCAGGAACTATGTGGTATGGTTCAGCAACTACCCCGATCGAATTATTTGGACCCACTCGTTATCAATGGGATCAGGGATACTTTCAGCAAGAAATATACCGACGGATAAGTGCTGGGCTAGCCGAAAATCAAAGTTTATCAGAAGCTTGGTCGAAAATTCCCGAGAAATTGGCTTCCCAGCCCGTTCAATGATCACCTCTAGAATACATGTGATGGTATGTTCGTACAATCATATTTAATTGTAGACGTTATGTTGGTAAAAAGAGGATATCGTTAGCTTTTCTAAGCGTGGCATGTGCATTGATGTTACCTGCCCCTGCTGTGGTGATGAGGCAGAGACATTGGAACATGCCTTGTTTCTTTGTCAGGCTGCTCGTATGATCTGATATGCTTCTCATCTTCGTTTAAATGTTTCAAATTTGGATGTGTTGTCTTTGTTTGAGTGGATTGTCTCTCTGACTTCCCTTTACAAAGAGAAGTGTTGGTGGAATCTATTCTAGTGCTTATACTGTGGGGAATATGTGGGTCTTGGGCTGTTATAAGGGACTTTCAGGGGGATGTAATGGCTGCCACTTGTGTACGAAGGTGGGTTCTTTTGAAGTTGAAGCGGCGAAGGCTATGGCTGCGAGACATGCTTTAACTACTGCTCTTGAAACTGGCTTCCAACATCTGATTTCGGAAGTGGATTGCTTAAGTCTTCACAAAAAGCTCTCGAATAGCACTCGTGTCATGTGTGTCGTTGGCACCATTATTGAAGACATCTGTCACCTCGCTAATTGTTGCTCTTCTCTTTCTTTTAGTCATGTGGGAAGGAGGGGCAATGGGGTTGCCCAAAAGCTTACCAATTGTAGTAGAAACTTTAACGAACAGAGGGTGTGGATTGAAGAAGTCCCACCTTGTGTTGTTAGCAGGGATGTTCATCGGTCCAAGACCGGATCGACTCGAGCCAGACTAAAGACCGAAATTTAGAATTTCAAGAATCGAAGACCGGGCCAATTAAGCTGAGACTGAAACCGGACCGGACCAAAAAAAATCGGTCCAAAACCCAAATCGGACTACTTAGGACTGATTTTAAGATTTATTAAGAAAAAAAAACTAATTTTTTTAATGGAAAACTAAAAAAAAAAGAAGGAAAAACAACATTATAACGTCTTTTTTTGTATGATTAGTATAAAAAGCTCATAAAATTAATATTTTCTAGGCATATTAAGGATAATTTTAATCATTATTGAAGGTTTTATGCATATTTTTAAGTAAAAAATCGGTCTGGTCCAAGATCATTTTTATAGGGTTTTGGACCGGACTGAACCAAAGTCCGGACCGGTCCTTTTTTTTTTTTTTTTGCCCGGGCCAATTTTTGAACACCCCTAATTGTTAGTGTTGTTTTGTTGCACTTGATGTTCCTTGATTTTCCTTACTAAAAATTTTCTGTTGTGTTTGTGTGTCAAAAAAAAAATTGATAGCTTCTCATTGCGGAGTATTCTTTTAGCACTAACCATCCAAACTACAGTCCAAACTAGTGTTAGTCAAATTTCAAACCAAAACCGTTTACCTGTCCGAAACCAACCGACCCAAATGAGAACCAAACCGATCAAAAACTGATTTTGTAAAATCGAAAATCGACCCGAACCGTATTTAAGTAAAACCGAAATCGAACCGATCCGAATAATGTCAAACCGTATAAGAACCAAACCCGTTAACAAACCGAACCTGTTCTAAAACGAACTGAAATCAAACCGAACCGAAAAAGAACCGAAAAGTTTCTAAGCCGAAACCATTTCTAACCCGAAACCGTTTGTACCGAGGTAAAAAACGTTTACACTGAGCCGTAAACAAACTGCAACCCGTTTGTACCGAACCGTTTATAAACCGAACCACTTACAAACCGAACCATCTATAAATCAAACTGTAATTTCGATGTCACAATAACTCATCAAATCATGATTATGACACATCAATTAGATGATTGAATAAGAAGCAGCTAATAATGTGATAGTAAAACAATAATAATTCATTAATACACTAAACTTTTATAATCTACGTTACTTCGTAATAAACTAGTAAGATCAGTATGACTAAACTTGAAAATAACATGATATGTATTTTTAAAATCGATGAGAATTTGTATATAATATAATGTCTAATGCCTAAATATGAAGTGATGAAGTCTCGGCTTGATATATAACTTGTTAACCAGCAAAAGGTTAGCAATTACTATGAAATTTCAAACCAAAATCGTTTAACTGCCCGAATCCAAACGACCCGATTAAAAACCGACTTTTTGAAATAAAAAACCGTTCCGAACCATAATATAGTAAACGTGAAATGGAACTGATCCGAATAATGTTAAACCGTATAAAAGGCAAATTCGTTAACAAAGCGAACCAAAATAAAAATGAACCGAAAAAGAACCGAACCGTTTCTAACTCGAAACCGTTTCCAACCCAAAACTGTTTGAACCGGTATAAAAATCATTTACACTGAATCGTTAACAAACCGCAACCCGGCTGCACCAAACCGTTTAATTCCCGAACCGTTTACAACTCGAACCGAATTTAAACCGCTCAAGAATAAACCGAAACCGAATTGAACCGATAACTATTTAAACCGAAGTGAAACCGACCCGCGTGACACTTAAATCGATTTCAAACCGACTCGATATAATACCGAACTGATTTTAAATCGAACCGAACCCGATCTGTCAAACCGTTTTACAGTGCTAGGCCAAACCCATATCTTTTAGGCTAGCACGTATAGCGGCATAGGCCGGTGTTTTTTAGCTTTAACCATCCTAACTACGATTGCACTAAACAAACTTTTACTATTAATTTTCCTAAAAAAATAAAAAAAAAAAAAAATTAATTCAAAAAAACATGGAGGTTTCTGGTAACATCGTTTTGAAGCGCAAACCAAAAACACAGAAATCTCCCTCTTTTTCTGGGAAACTCTAGAAATCGACCATTTTCTTCATTTAACTACATTTTCTAGCGGCAACACCTCACTTATTTTTACCAAGTGTTTTCGCTTTCTCTCTCATCGTTTATCAGCACCGCTCTTTCTCTCGTTTCTTTTGCACACTTCTTTTCAAGTAAGTATTTCTCTTCCCTTCTCTTTTTCTTGCATTTCTTTGCTCATTTCTAATTTTGATTTGTTTTTTTTGTCAATTTGATTCTGAACTTATGTTGAATTTAATTTCTCGAATTTGGGTTTTTTTGGGTTTCTTTTGAATGAGGATCATAGCTTTGGAATTGTTGTATATTCTGGTTGTTTGTTTTTGGGTGTTAAATTGTACTTTGTATAATTTAGTTCTTTTTATAGTATAATTGTTTGTCAATTTTTCTGCTGTATTAATGTTCTGCTGTTTTAGATTACATTTTTCATGATTTTTCTGAGGTACCCTTTACTGTGATTAAGCTAAGAATATATAATTTACTAAATTATCTGTGTTAATCAAAGATTTCTAATAAATTTGTCAAAATTTGGCCGATTAAAATGGAAATTGTCTTGTTTATATTTCAGATTAATTTTATGTAATCATGAAAATGCTTAAACTAGCTTAAGTAATGAGAATATATACTTCATAGTCATATCATTTTGGTTTTCGTGTTTTTTTTTTTTATTATTTTTTTTTTTTAGGGTGTATGAATAACCGAGGAAAATGACAGACGTGAATTATAGGCTTTCGGTACGATCCACTTTAACGAACTAAGCTAGTTTTCATACTTAATTTGATGTAGAATGTATTACATGTGATATTGGTATTTGTGTATTTGAACGATTTTTTAAGGGTTACAGTAGTGCTTCAGCATCTTGATGAAACGCAGTTTGGTCAATAGCTTGAACTTTATGTGATTTCAGGGATAGAAAGATTAGGAACCTCTTTCCTTCTATAGTTGTGCATCTAAAGCTGTGACCATGTTTTCGATCATTGAGGGATATGGCCATATGGGTTATGTTTTATATCAATAAATTTATTCGATGACCTTCATTCAGTTATTTGCTTGAAAATCTGTTGATGAGTATAGTTTGGATTAGTTTGTATGACTTTTTGTTCATGTGTGTTGACCACTGTTATGATCAAATCAGGTGTCCGATGTCATTGGCATGGCTTCTTCGAATTTGAAGGGAGATATATTGCCATCTATCTGTATCTCGTTTTATTGATTCAATAACACAATATAAATTAATGCAACTATGATAGGGCTTGTGTGATTTGCAACAACATTGACAATCGTCTTCTTATTTGGAATCGGCTAATTGTATTTTCCTGATGACATTAAGTTCAAAGTTTTTTCTTACATTGAAACAAAGGTCTGCTAGGATAAAATTAGGGCCTAGTCTTGGTAGCAGGGGAAAAAAGTATAGCAACTTTCATTTGAATAATTTTGTAACCAAACATATAACTTGGGTTTTAATACTTCAATCATCAATTCCAATTATGAAATTCAGTTGTGTTATTCTTTCCTACTGGCTGTTACTTAAACCCCACTCAATTTCATCTTTTGAGTTGGTCTTATCTCTCATCATTTCTCAGATGTTTTTGTCGTTTCTTGATTTAGTGAAATTTATGTATGGATCTTACCTCAGCTTGTATTGAAATTAGAGGAAAATGTACTTGAGGCACCACTGTATCTTTTATTTTACTTCCTATCACATCTTGTTTGCAGCTTTGCAATCTTCCTTTCTTCATTTTTATCTTTAATTGCCTTACTAGTATCTTTTTAAGATAAAATCTATGTATGAAGTGTATGTTCTGTCAGGTAAAATTTTAGTGGAATTTTGGTTAAGGGTTACCCTGCAGTCTGCAGTTTAGGCATTTGTTAATGAGAAGAAACATTATCCAGATATGATAAAATACTCCTGTTGCCTATTTTATATTTGTACTTTGAAACTTTAAAACATGTAGCTGCTCTAGAATCTAAACATCCATGTTCTGTTGCCTTTGTTAGACACTAACAATATTAGTTTAGTGTTGATAAGTATTTGTTCTACTAGCTACCTTTGCTGATTATAGTGGGAAGTTTTGCATTATTTTTTTAAAACATGGTGGCATAATTCAATGATTTTCAAGAGCTAGATGCTTGGACCTTTGAGTACTCCGTATTTGGATTTCTTGGTATAGTTATTGTTTGGCAAGTTCCATGAGTATAGATGCCAAAAGCAAGCATCCTTGGTACTTTTTATATGTATATATGAATTCTGTGCTAAAGATATAAATATTGAAAATCATGTTTGTTTATTACAGGAATGGCTCAACAAGCATACACTGTTGCTTCTGATAGTGAAACCACTGGAGAGGAAAAATCTTCTGCATTCCCTGAAATTGCAATTGGTATTGATATTGGTACTTCCCAATGCAGTGTAGCAGTTTGGAATGGCTCTGATGTGGAGTTACTTAAAAACACTAGGAATCAGAAAATAATGCAGTCATATGTGAGCTTCAAAGATGATGTCCCGACTGGTGGAGTCAGCAGCCAACATGCACATGAGCATGAAATCTTATCTGGGTCTGCAATCTTCAATATGAAGCGTCTAATTGGTAGGGTTGACACCGATCCTGTTGTTCATGCCACCAAAAGCCTGCCCTTTTTAGTTCAGACCTTGGATATTGGTGTGCGGCCTTTTATTGCTGCTTTGGTCAATAATGCATGGAGATCTACTACACCTGAGGAAGTTTTGGCAATCTTTCTTGTGGAATTAAGGGCCATGGCTGAACTTCAGTTAAAAAGGCCTCTACGGACTGTCGTTCTGACAATCCCAGTTTCATTCAGCCGTTTCCAGCTCTCTAGAATTGAGCGTGCCTGTGCCATGGCTGGCCTTCATGTTCTCAGGCTGATGCCTGAACCAACTGCCGTGGCACTTTTATACGCACAGCAACAACAGCGTACTATACAAGACAATATGGGCAGTGGGAGTGAGAAGATTTCCCTCATCTTTAATATGGGAGCTGGCTATTGCGATGTAGCTGTTAGTGCTACAGCTGGTGGCGTTTCTCAGATAAAAGCCTTGTCAGGGGCTGCCATTGGAGGGGAAGACCTTCTTCAGAACATGATGCGTCACCTCTTGCCTGAGTATGACACGATTATCTTAGGCCATGGACTGGATGTTATCAAGTCAATGGCTTCTTTTCGGGTTGCAACTCAGAATGCTATACATACTCTTTCTTCTCAAACTAGCGTCAAAATTGATGTTGATTTAGGGAATGGTAAAAGTGTGACTAGGCTTGTGGACAGAAAGGAATTTGAAGATGTGAACAAGGTGGTATTTGATCAGTGTGAAACCCTTGTAAGGCAATGCTTGAATGATGCAAAAGTTGAAATAGGTGATATCACTGATATAATACTTGTTGGAGGATGTTCTGCAATTCCCAAGGTTAGAGATCTTGTTAAGAGCATTTGCAAGAGAGAGAAACTGTATGATGGGATTAATCCACTGGAAGCTGCTGTCCGTGGAGCTGCACTGGAGGGAGCAGTTGCATCTGGTATTAGTGACCCATTTGGGTATCTAGACTTGCTAACAATTCAAGCTACTCCTCTGAGCATTGGAGTTCGAGCCAATGGGAACAACTTTGTGCCCATAATCATGAGGAATACGACAGTTCCTGCAAGGAAGGACCTTGTTTTCACAACAGTACACGATAACCAGACTGAGGCCTTGATAGTAGTTTATGAAGGTGATGATGAAACAAAGATACAGAAGAACCATTTACTTGGGTATTTCAAGATCAGTGGGATCCCTCCTTTGCCAAAAGGAACTCCAGAGATTAACGTGTGCATGGACATCGATGCTTCAAATATTCTGAGAGTCTTGGCAGGTGTTGTGATTCCAGGCAACCAGCAGCCTGTTGCTCCAATCATGGAAGTGAGAATGCCAACCATTGATGATGGGCATGGTTGGTGTGCTGAAGCACTTAACAGAACTTATGGATCTACTTTGGATATGATAACCGTGCAGAAGAAGACACAGGCATGAGATTATGATATGGTTTGTACTCTTCAGCGTCTTTTTTGGTATAGAGGTTGTGATCTTGGTGTTTATTCGGCTGTAGTTATTTTGTGAAGGTTTTGATGAATGTGTTTTTAGTTTGTGTCATGTAATTGAGTTAATATGTGTGAATAAAAAGTTGGTGGCTGCTTGTATATATTGAACACTTCTTTAGTTGTGCCGTACTTGAATTGGTAATGCACAATATCAATACATATAGCAACTATTCTTCTCTCTTGAGCAAGATGGGAGAGCTTAATTTAATGAGCTTCAACCTTTTCTCATGATTTTACATAAATTAAGTAATAAAATTAACATGAACGATGATAACATCCATTCTCTTGAATAGAAATGTCTATTATCATGGCTTTTCAGTGAGTGATCAAAAGTGGAGGCTTCATCATGAGAGTATATAGACCAAATTTAGGCTTTAATTAAAAGCTAGAGTATGAGGAATAACATGATAAACCATGAATTTGGATTATGTATTGTAAAAAAAGGTAAATTTAAATCGATTCAAACAATTTTATAATAACTATTGAAAAAAATAGTTGTTTATCACATAAATCTTTAATAGAATTGGTAAGAAACCCTCATTTATGACTTGCAAGATGTCAAATTCCAATGTTAGTCATTTGAGAATCCCGAAAAGGCTCACAGAGAGACAATTTGGTAAGTGGCGATGGCTCACTAATAAAATTTAGGGAATTATGAGAAGACTCATAGAAAGACAATTTGGTAGGTGGCGGCGGGTTTGCTGAGAAAATTCTAGGTTTAAGAGGATACTAATGTTAATAGTGTGAGGTTTTTTTTAAAAAAAAATAAATTGTTTGAGATTATTTTAATTTATTTCATTTTGTCTAAAGGTCTGAACTTATTTTATCAAATTTTTGTGAAATAATATAAAATAAGATTAAAATAATATGAAAAAACACACGTTAAATTCTCTCTTATTTAATCTTCGTTATTAATTTACATGAACTTATTGTCGTCATTTTATTTTATTTAAAATCATCTAAACTTAATAATTTGTTTTCAAAAAAAAAAAAAAACTAAACTTAGTAATTGAAATAATGAAATTACATAAATTTTCACTTAGGCCTTGCAGCATGATATTAGTGCAGTTCTTGAGATGGAGGTCACTAATGATCTAGGGACCTACTTGGGCATGCCGACTTTAACAAGTCGAGTGACCAAAGACACCTATACACCTTTGTGAGAAGATAGACAGGCGGTTAGCGGGATGGAAATCTAAATATTTATCTCTTGCTGGCCGTATTACTTTGGCTAAATCCACAATCTCAACTATGTCTCTTTACTCTATGCAAACGGTGAAAATCCCTCGATCAATTTGTGAAAATATTGATAAGAAAACTCGACGCTTCATTTGGGGAGGTGATGAAGATAAGCATAAAGTTCATCTTTTAGCGTGGGAAGCTTTGCAAAGACCTAAGGATCATGGAGGTATTGGAATCTACTCGGCTAAACAAGCGAATGCTGCATTTTTAGCTAAATTGGGGTGGAGGGTTCTCACTGAACCGAATGCCTTATGGTCGAGGGTGCTAAGAGCAAAATATTGCAAAGGTCGTTGCGACATTGATATGTTTGAACCAAAAGCTGGCATGTCAAACGTGTGGAGTGGGATAACAGCCAATGCTACACTACTTGGGGAAGGTATGCATGTTGCAGAGGGCAATGGAGCTAGTACTCGGTTTTGGGACCATAAATGGGCTGGAGATGCTAGACTAAGAGATGTGGCTATCCAAGATATTCCTAATGAGTTAGCTGATGCTATGGTTGTTGACATGTGGGAAGAGAATTGTGGGTGGCATTGGAACATTTTTGCAGAATTTCTTCCCGAAAACGCTCTTAAGCTAATCCAAAATCATGAGCTTCGTGTTGATCCTAGTATAGGAGATCTTGTATATTGGAAAGGGGATGCTAAGGGCAGATTTACTATTAAGTCAGCTCTTCGTATTATGAGACATGAGACGGATGTTTTGGATGAGGACTGCTGGAATGAAGTATGGAAGGCTCCAATTCAACAAAGAATGCGTGCCTTCTTATGGCTAGCCTGCCACGATCGTGTGCTAGGCAACATGAACATGTACAAGAGAAAATTGAGAGATGATGCTAGATGCTATGTGTGCGGTGATGATGAAGAATCTACCCTGCACATCCTGAGGGATTGCCCTGCTGCCAAGATGGTTTGGAAAAAGTTAGTTAAGCCCACGAATTTGTTCCAGTTTCTACAAGGCAATACCAAGGATTGGATCACCTCGAATCTGGCTAATAGAGACAGTGAGATGGCTGAAGATTGGCCGATTATTTTTGGAACTGCTGTTTGGTGGCTATGGAGATGGCGCAATTGTCGTGTTCATAATAAAAAGGATGAAATTCCAGTGGATTTAGGAGCATTTCTCAGAGTGCGAGTTGAAGAAATTAAGCGCAGCCTTTGCCTGAAGCCTCTTCGTAAAGCCAGCTATTTGAGAAACAAGATGGAGTTTAATGTTGCTTGGCAAGCTCCTCAAGATGATTGGTATGTACTCAACTGTGATGGGGCAGCCAAGGGTAACCCAGGGATTGCTGGTGGGGGTGGTATAATTCGAAACTGTGAAGGCCAATTTGTTTCGGGGTTTACTGCAGGCCTTGGTATTTGTTCAGCCTTTAGAGCTGAAATCCTAGCTCTTGCAAAGGGTCTAAAGCTTGCTCAGAATCTCCAAATTCAACAGCTGGAAATTCAACTCGATAATCTTGCTTGCATCCAAATTTTGCGTAAAAGAGACAGCATTGGAGGAGAAAATGCTCATGTTATTGCTGAGTGTCTGAATATGATTTGAAGCTCTACTTGGAAAGTGAAGGTAACTCATATTTTATAGAGAAGCAAATCGCGCGGCGGATTGGTTGGCCAACTGCGGCGTCACTCAAGACACTAATTTTTGTATTGTTAATTTCATTCCTTTAGAGCTTGGTAGGATTTTAGATGAGGATGCAAGGGGGGTATCTCTGCCTCGCCTTGTACCTCCTTAGGAGCTTAGTTTTATTGTTTATTTCTGTTTTGTTTCTCTGCTTTGTTTCTTGTTTTCTTTCCCTTTGGATTTTGTTCCTCATATGAATAAAAAAAAAAAACATAAATTTTCACTTAGTACTTAGAAATTGACTTTTTATTTGTCTAAAAATTGTTTGAAAAAATGTACTATGTATAATTTTTCCAATACATAACATTTTTTATTTACTCTCTCTTGTGTTTTTTTAAGTGTTATGCTTACCAAATCCGGCCGTGTTTTAATAAGTGTTACACTTCTATATTTGACAAAAAAAAAAAACTACATTAAAATATTATGGGCGTGTTTGGCACTAGCTTTTGAGTAGCTTTTAGTGGTTTGACGTATTCAAACCACTACTTTAAAAAAATTTTGAGTGTTTGGGAATCTAGCGGTGGGTGTAATGTTTAGTGGTTGAGGTAATATTAACTTTTGTGAAAAGCTAAGTAGCTGTTAAAATTTTCTTCTATTTTTTTAGGATTTTACAGCTAACAGCTAGTTTACTAAACACTCATACTTAATTATTTATTTTCACAGCTAATTAACAGCTAACAGCTATATTTTGCCGAACACGCACTATTTCTCTCTTCACTCATGGTCGCTAACCAAATCCACTCCTACTTTTTTTTATTATATCTCTCCTCTCACATGTATTAAATTTCAATAAACTATTAACTTCAATTAAATTGCCTAAAACTATGTGCCGGTCAAACTGTAATACTTAAAAAAACAAATAACCCAAATAGGCAACACGAAAGAACAAAACCCACCCATATATATGACTATTTGACCCCAGCTCACCATCCTATTCTCTCTCCTCTCCCATTGTTCACTTTCTGCGCCTACGAACTTTCCGGACGTTTCAAATTCCTCCCCAAAATATATTTTTCCCCCAAAAAATTTCATCAAAACCCCCCTTAATATCCGTAAATCCCGAAAATACTCCTTATAACACCTTCAAATTACTTCACATTCAATCAAACATATCCAATCCTTCATCTCTACCCTTAGGGGTAAAATCGTCAAATTCACTAAACCCATAAATAGTTAAAGACAGCAAATCGTTAAGCCTTCTTAGCTAAGACTCAACTTTCTCTTCCAACTCACATTCATTTCTTCAATACAAATCCTCAATTTTCTCTCTCCTCAATTTTTCTAGGGTTCCTAAAATCCCCAAGTCAATTGTAAAATTCGTTGGATTTTTGCTGAAGTTTTGAAGGAATTGTCTCGGTTAACAATGGCGATTGTTGAAGAAGGAGGTGAATTCGTGGTTTTATCGAAGATTAGAGCAGGGCATAAGCGAGAGTTTCAATTTGCTTTGAAATCGCAAAACGAGATTTCTGGGTTACTGAGTCGAACTCGAGTTAGGAAGAGTCCTGTGACTGAGGTGAACGAGTTGCAGGTTGTGAAGAAGATGAAGAAGAAACCGGTGGGAAGGATGAGGAAGATGACGTCATCTCCTCGATTAATGGAGAGTGAGGATGAGGCGGAGAGTGATGTTGTGGATATGGTGAGTGATGACGAGTATAATCGTCGTCAAAATGTGGAGAGTCAAAGGAGAGAGAATGGGAAAGTCAATGGAAATGGAAATGAGAGTGACACCATTGTTGAGGATGAAGGTAGTAATGTAACGAAGAAGGTTCCTAAGAAATTGAAGGAGCTTCTTGAAACTGGGTTGTTGGAGGGTTTATCTGTTAAGTACATTCGAAGTAGTAAGGTAATTTTGCTAAACACCCAGAAAAATTGAAACATTTAGGTAGAATAAACAATTGATTGCAGAACATTTTGGTATTTTTTATGCTTGAAATGATGTAATTTTGATTTATTTTGGTGTGGTTTTGACAGAAATTTCCGTCGAATAAAGGGCTTGCTGGAATTATAAGAGGGTGTGGAATTTTGTGTTTCTGTGACGATTGCAAGGGCATTCAAGTAAGTTGGTGTGTACTTTATATATTTAATTTTTCTTTGAAAATATTCTGCATGTTATGTTACTTCGGCCTCGACATTTCACTTCAAGTACTCGTGTCGGGTATATTCGTGTTGAGCATATTCTGCCTATTATGTAACTTAGACTCTACATTTCACCTCAAGTACTCGTACCGGGTACTCAGAAACCCTGATATGGATAAGGTCTTATGGATACCTCCACACCTCATTTGGGCCAAAACTATGTTATTTACTACAAAGTACTGCATATGAA